AAGACTAATGCAAATGCTTCATATCAAGAGCAGTCTCACCTAACCTCTGCACTTCAGCTGTTTAAAATATATGTCTGGACCAAGACTGTAATTGGTCTACAGCCAGTGCTCCTGGCAGAACTCAAAGCTGAGCAGGTCATTAAAGTTCCACTTGATAGCAGTGGTGCTAACATCATCCGTCACTTTGCTAATCTTAAAGAGTATAGTGATGGGGCAGTAATTGCCTGGGTTGAATGTTTTATGCTTTTTGTGAACATGATAGACTGGGGCAATTACCCACAATGTTGACCAGGTACCAATGTTGTGATTGCACTTTTTTGGGGTTGGGTGGGTTGTGAGGAAGAGGAGGGTAGTTCACAACAGGAGGGCATAACCTTAAAGTTAGACCAGAGGTAATTGGGACAATGTCAAGAAGCATTTAAAAGGTAGTCAAAATCTGAAACTTTGAAACCCACCCCGACCCAACTCTTCACTTAAGAATCCTGTTGTGCTAAGGTCAACTAGACGTTTGAAAATTGAGAATGAGAAACATCTTTATTAGGCAAGAGTATTAAGGGACATGAAACACAACAGGTTGAAGGGATTGATATCCAGATCAGTCATGATTTGATCAATTGGCCAAACAGGTTGGGAAGGTTAAATGACTTCCTGCTGTTCCCAAGATCAAGAATTAGCTTCAAATGCAAATGTAATCCACTCTAAAATAAATTAAAGTCAGAGTCATACAGCTTGAAAAATAGACCCCTCGGTCCAACTCAACCATGTCGACCAAGTTTCCCAAACTAAACTAGTCCCACTTGCCTGTTCCTGGCCCATATTTCTCTAAACCTTTCCTATCCATGTACCTATCCAAGTGTCCTTTAAATGTTGTAACTGTACCTGCATCTACCACTTCCTCTGGCAGTTCATTCCACATACAAAACACACTGTGTGAAAAACATTGCCCCTCTGGTCCCTTTTAAAATCTTTCCCCCCTCACCTTAAACCTATGCTGCCTAGTTTTGAAATCCAGGTAAAACAACTTTGCTACATAAACACACACCTTGCATCACAACCGAGATGCAAGACGACCATTAGACACAGGAGCAGATTTCAGTGACATCATAACTGATCTGATGTTCCTTAACTTCAGCTTCCTGTCCTTCCCACATAACTATTGATTCCTTTACTATTAAAAACTTGTCCATCAGTGCCTCACGTTCTTAATGACAGTGAATCAAAAGCCCTCTAGTACAGAATTCTACAGAATCACTACCCTCAGGAGAAATTCCTCTTCATCTCTGCTGTGATGCAAGGTGCGTGTTTATATATTTAGCAAAGATCTTTTCCCCTAGGGTAGGGAGTTCAAAGGGGCATAGGTTACGCCATGAGGGGAAAGATTTAAAAGGGACCTGAGGAGCAATGGTTTCCACACAGAGTATGATACAAATGTGGAATGAACTGCCAGAGGAAGTGGTAGATGCAGGTACACAGTTACAACATTTAAAAAGACATTTGGATAGGTACATGAACAGGAAAGATTTGAGAGAGATATAGACCAAACACAGGCAAGTGGGACTAGTTTAGTTTAGGAAACTTCGTCGGCATGGATGAGTTGGACTGAAGGGTCTGTTTCCCTGCTGTATGACTGACTTTATTGTAGTGTTTGGGCTTAAGCTAGTGGTATTTGGGTTTTGGTTTGTATGTCTGAAGGGGCTGAATGATTAACTTGTAGGTATTTCTGTAGCACTTGTGTTTCTTTCTAAGAACAGTGAGAATGTTCCTGGCATGTAATGGGATTTTGTTTTAACTGGCACAGCCGTTACAAGTGAACAAAATAAACAATGTGCATTAGGGTTTCAGTTTAGCAGGTCAAAGGTTGATCTTTTTTTCTCTTTTGGTTAGGGGAAACACTTATAAGCCTGGAAAACTGAAGTCCAATATTTTTAGTTTGGCAGTTTTACACAAGCCTTGTCTGAAGCTGAAATGTGCAGAGTCGGGCCTGATGAAATGGGGATGGTTTAGACAGGTAAGAAATAGATTACCTCAGGATAAGTAGCTTTGGTTTAAATTTCCAGACAATATGCGTTTTTGTTAAAACGCTGAAGGCTTGTCTGAAGCTGAGAAAGTCTTTGCTCACTGGTGATTTCCACTGATTGGAGTACTCTCAGCGTATTTCACAATATTGAGTTTATTTTTGATTTGGTACGGTCCTGTGCTTTTGAACTTTTCTTAAAGACTAATAATTAAGTGGCTCAGATCTTCAAGATCATGGAATTAAAGCCACAGCTAGGTCAAACACAATGTGTAATAGAGAAGGGAATTCGCCCTCTGATATTTGAATGCTGCAATGGGGTGCTATTGAGTTTAATGGCACTGTAGTTTATGCTGTGTTTTGAAATTTTTAAATGTGTTGTGTCAATACTTTAGTTTGTTCTATTTTATCTTCAATTTTTTTGTATAACAAATTTGCTTCATTGTTAAAACCAAACCTGCAAGCACTTGTGTCTCAGTGAAAGACAACCTCACTAATGTCAAAAATAAACAAAATATGATCAATCAAGCCATATTTCAATCTGGAATATTACTTTTCAGTAATAACATCAGTTGGGATTGTAAAAATGTCTTAAATGGGCAACCTGTTACCTTCAGTTACTCCAAAAGATAAAACTTAAACAGAATTAGTCTCAACTTTTATGTTAGAGCTTTATTTCATTACACCATAAAACTCTCCTCTCATGATAACTAGCTGCTCTACACACACACACACACACACACACACACACACACACACAATCAATTCATATGCAATTAACTCAACTAATGCATACATCAGAGATAGTAGGAACTGCAGATGCTGGAGAATCCAAGACAACAAGGTGCAGGGCTGGATGAACACAGCAGGCCAAGCAGCATCATAGGAGCAGAAAGGCTGACGTTTCAGGCCTAGACCCTTCATCAGAAAAGGGGGAGGGGAAGGGGGTTCTGAAATAAATAGGGAGAGAGTGGGAGGCGGATAGAAGATGGATAGAGGAGAGGATAGGTGGAGAGGAAACAAACAGGTCGAAGAGGCGGGGATGGGCATACATCACTTGTTCCTCATTCCACTATCTCTCGGGCATTTCTTCAGACTTTATCAGATGATAACAACTCAGATTAGGGTCCCAGACTTTCCCACAACAGGGTAGATGCTAAATTTATTCCCTGTTAAGTACCCCAAGAATCTTGTATGTAAAAATAAGGTTGCCTCACACCGTTGTAAACTCTAATGAGTACAAGCCCAATTTACACATTATCTGCTCATAAGAAAATCCCTCCATACCCCTTCTTCAACCTTGCAAGCCTTTCTGCACTGCCTCCAATGTTAGCATATCCCTCCTTAGATAAGGGGACCAAAATTGTTCTTGTACCTTGTACAGTGTTGTGTATTTATGTATGTTCAGCTGTTGCTTTCAGAGTCTGATCATAGGACATGACATCAGCCATTTTGGCATGAAACAGTTAGTCTAACCTTGCTGCTGCAGAGTGAATCCCTCCCTTAATAGAGCCCCTGCTGTTCTTTAAACACTTCAGCCTCTTAGTCCTTGAACGTAACACACAAAGAAAACTGCTGAGGACAGGATCTGTTTTGAGATGCAATTTGGCGTCATAGTCCACAAGACCAGAAGATAGATGAGAAGAATTAGACCATTTGGCCAATCTTGTCTGCTCCGCCATTTGACGATGGCTGATATGCTTCTCAACCCCATTCTCCTGCCTTCTTTCCATAACCTTCGATCCCCTGACTAATCAAAAAAACCTATCTTTGCCTTAAATACACTCAGTGATTTGGCCTCCGCAGCCTTCTGTGGCATTGAGTCCCACATATTCTCCACTTTCTTCTTGAGCATAACATACAGTTTTAACAAGACTTCAATATTTTATAATCGATTCACTTTGAGGAAAGTCAGCACTCCACTTCCTTTCTTTTACTAGCTGAACTTGGGATGCTAGATTTTTGTGATTCAGGAGGACCCTCAGTCCCTCTGTACTGTAGCTTTCAGCAGTCGTTCTTCGTTTAATACTCAGCTCCTCTACTCTTCCTGCCAAAGTTCATAACCTCACATTTTCCCACATTATATTCCATCTGCCAAGATTTTGCTCACTCACTTAATCGGTCTATATCCTTGTGCAAATTATACGTATCTATCTAATTACTTGACTTCCGTTATGTTTGTGTCATCCTCAAAGCTTAGTACACTGACTTCCATCAATCCACCAATTCCACTGACTTCCATGACTCCAATCTTTCCATTGTCCACAAACCTACGAATTAGGCAAGCCACATTTCCTCCAGAGATAGTAGGAACTGCAGATGCTGGAGAATCTGAGATAACAAGGTGTAGAGCTGGATGAACACAGCAGGCCAAGCAGCATCAGAGGAGCAGAAAGGCTGACGTTTCGGGCCTAGACCCTTCTTCAGAAAATTCCTCCAAATCATTTATGTACACCACAGAGGTCCCAGCATGATCCCTATGGAAACCAACAGTCACAGACCTCCATTCTGAAAAGCATCCTTCCACTGCTACCCTCTGTCTCCTGTGACTAAGCCAGTTCTGTATCCATCTTGCCAAGTCACCCTTGATACCATGTTACTTCACCTTTTGTACCAGACCGCCATGAGGGACCTTGTCAAAGGCTTTACTAAAGGTGATGTAGACAACAACTGCTTTTTCACCTCTGCAAAACACTCAATCAAGTTAGTGAGGCATGACCACCCCCGCACAAAACCATGCCGTCTATCGCTAATAAGTCCATTTGCTTCTGACCTTGTCCCTGAGAATCTCTTCCAATAATTTCCACACCACCAAAATGAGGCTCACAGGCCTGTAATTTCCTGGATTATCCCTGCTACCCTTCTTAAACAATGTGACAACATTGGCAATTCTAAGTGTTCTGAAATTACTGCCTTTGAAATGGACTAACATGTTTCCAATGACAGATGTTAATGCAACTGTGATGTTAAGCTGTATGACACATACTTGGCAATCTTGGCTTGGCTATGAGCTTGACAATCATCTTGATACTTTGCTATTTGATTCGGCATTGCTTTCCCAATTGCTTCTTTTAATTTATGTATTGGTTCCTTCAGCCGGCCATCCTGCAGGAAAAGAATTAAAAGCAATTGTATTTCTCTTCTTTACTAAATTCAAGCACTTATCAAGACGTCCCGGGCAATACCGTGGGTTCAGAATTTTGAAAAAAAGTACATTGGATCATCCCCAACCCCTCAAATTCATCAGTTTTAGAAAGGTTTGCAGCAGACTTGCTATATTTGACCAAATCTGATATGCGTAGTCTGCATAGACCTGTATTCCTGTAATAGCAGAGACGGTGGTACATCTTTTTCATTCACTACAAACAGCTCTAATACTTAATGGCAGAAACTTATTTGAAGGAGGTATGGCAATCCAAAATGTCAATTTCTCATTAAACTGGTCAGATTAACAGGGCAGAACTGAGGCTAGCTTATCTGAAAATGGCTCTACTTGGAATACCAAACACAAAATTTAAAATATTATATAAAGCTGTGTAATCAGACAGTAGGTTCTACTGCAACTTGCATATAGGCAATAGTTTTATGATCACACAATAAAAAGGAAGTACATGAACCAATGCAGACATAACATTAAAAATTTTCATGTAAAATCCTTAAGAATTCATTTATTCATTATAGACAGTGAAACCTAAATAAACGCTCACCTGCATTAAGCATTCACCTGTCTTTACCAGCCATTTTTCCCCAGTCTGTAATAATTTTTTAAGAGGACAGAAAATTAGTTGCTTAACCGAACTCCCACATCAGAATTAGGGGAGTAGAGAGATAATTTCCCCTACTCTTTGTCCAAAATATATTTTATGGAAAAAGCAACATAGGAGCTAAAGCAGGATATAAGCTGGTCATGTACGAGTACCAGATCTTAATTCACATTAAATCAATTGCACTCGAGACAATTTATGTTTGGTGATTTGACATGGTCTTACACTGGCAGACCATGGTTCATGAATTCAATAGTCTACTCCTCCTAATTCAAAATTAGTTAATTCAAATTTTGTGATGATGCAAATAATTAGAGCACAAAAATGCTGCTTTCTATTTATTGTTTTATTTAAATTACTGGATATTGTCACCTTTTTAGCAGAGAAACTGTATTTGAATTACCAGGAGAAGACTGTAAAAAATGAAATATGCATGATCTTATCTCCTCGTGATCACTTTCTTAAGGGTGGCACAATTAAACAAGCCCAAAGTGAATACAATGTTTTTACTAAGCTCATGATATAGGAAACTGTTAAAATAACTTTGTGAGAGTCAACATAAAATGTTGAGGACAAATTTAAAGTTCCTTTGTAGAATCAATTTTGAAGAATTGATGAAATAAGTATTGACAGGTTATAAGCAACAGTAGACATGAATGTTTGAAATTACAACCTCATTGCTTTTCTGGAAAGCACCCATGTTATGGAACAAAAATATTGTCAATAGGAGCCAAATCTGGATTAAATAACCAATTGCTGCTGCTCTGAGAGTGACTACTTAATGCAAGTCGTCTTTTATGCAAAACCCAGGGATGGCAATGTATTTTCAGTGTTGCTACAAACTTCGATATTCTCCAAATGAAGTTAAAATGATTAGATGAACTGGAGAAGAGCTCCAATCTTTGCTTGTGGTAAAGAGTGTTGTATTTTCTTTTGACATCACCTTTATCAGAACACAGCCAACTTAAGCAGGAATATTTAAATATTCAGACTCTAAACAAAAGCTTAACACCTCTAAAATATGCGACTGTCAGCTTGGCCAGTTGGTAAGACTTTTAACTCTAAGTCAGCAAGTCATATCTTCACCTCCATTATTGGCTAAAATGCCTCAAAATTTATTAGGCAAGTATGAAACTGTTGGAGGCAACCTCTTTCAGAAAATACATTAAATCATGGTCCTAACTCCCTGTTCATATGCACATAAAAGATTCAATTGCACAAAATTAGAGCAATCCTTTCCATGCACAAGTCAAAATTTATCTAATCAAGCATCACAAAAACAAATGATCTTGGTCAACCATCTCATTGCCATTTCTGGAGCCTTCACAGGGCTTTAACTGCTAAAGGTCATCAACAGAATAATAGTGAATATATTTCAAAAGTAGTTAATTAGACGTGAAATGCTTAGGGATGTTCTGAGCTTTGGCAAGTTGCTGCATGAACCAAGTTCTTTCATTCTAGTTTTCCCAGCTGCCTCAAAATAGTTCACACACAATTTTGAGTGTGGTAACAAATATATTGAGTGTTTGTAATTCAGTGAACAAAAAAAAACTGCAAAATAAAAAAAAAATTCTAGTGTTGGTTGAGGAGGAATGGTGAAGCAAGATATCAGGGACAAAAACAAAGAATTGCAGATGCTGGAAATCAGAAGCAAAAACAGAAACTGCTGGAAAAACTCAGCAGTAACGTTTCGATTCCAGTGACCCACCTTCAGAAGATATCAGGGACCTTGATTTGAAGCAACCATCCAAAGCAGACAAACAAGATCTCTATTTAATCACTAAACAAAAAACAAAGAACTGTGGATGTTCGAAATCAGAAATAGATGCTGCTAGACCGGCTGACAGAAAGTAGAGTTGATTCAGAATGTCAACTCCGCTTGCTTTCTACAGGTACTGCTAGACCTGCTAAGTTTCTCCAGCAATTTCTGTTTTTATCTCTATTTAAATCACTCATACGAAGGAAGGCTCTTCAAAAAAAAAAAAAAAAAAAAATTTACTTTGGTACTGTTCAGAGTGGCGCTCAGAGCCTCATGTGGAGTTTGAGCCCAAAATCTTTTTGCTCAGGAGGCAAAGGTGAAAATAACATGACCAAAACTGATATTTGGCTTTTTCTAATCACAAGTGCTCAAACTGATCTTCTCTCCTATTCCTTTCACCTTGCATAATCTCCTGAACTACAGGAACTTTCCTATAAAGTTTCTCAATATAAAAGGTAATTTCACCCCACCCTTCAATGTCAGCAGTTCAGCTCCATCGCAAGCTTTGATCTACAATGGTTACAATGCATTCAGGGTACAGTATAACCATAAAACCCAATGAAGAATGAACGGAAGCGAGTAATTTAAACTTAGGCCTTAACTTCTTAAAAACAAAGGGTGTTTTTCTCTGATGGCATGATATGCTGTTGTCTATAGGTAAAATAAAAAAAAAGCACTGCCTACTCTTAATGGTTCATAATTTCCGCATGTAAAAGATCGAAAAAACAGATGCAACTTGTACAAAGTACAGTACAGCGCTGTGATATTTAAGCTGTTGAAAACAGGAGTTATGGCTAGGAAAAGAAATGGAGTGACAAAATAAGACTTAGCTTTCCAAAAGGTAGGGAAAAAAGTGCATCAGCATTACCACTGGATACTAAGAAAATGGCTTTTAAAGGAAATATATAAAAGAGCCATGTACTAAAAAAAATGTTACATTATTATATCTGATTGAGGAAAATCTGATTGGAAATAAAATAAGAACACGGCATTGACAAATAAAACAAATGGCTTTGATTACTTATATGACAACTGTCCATTTATATATATCAATTAAAAATGATTTGAGTTTAAAACTTTAATAAAGAAGGTGGTCATCCACAGTTGATAAGTATCTCCTCTCTCTAACTGTCTGCTGCTGACTCATGATTTGATCATTCAGTGGTAGTAAGACTCTTGAACTAACGTACAGCCTTAACTGTCACCACTTGGCCTTTCAGCAGACTTATTAATAGTAAAACATGAAGCATATAGATAGAACAAAAACTTTACCGATCACTCTCTCCACACTCTGCAATCAACAGTTGCTTCATACTCATGCTGGTTTTATATCAGACAATCTTGTGGTTAAACAAAGTCCACAGCAGTGTTTAACTTTAATCTTTAACAATGGTCAAATAAACAAGCATTTTTCACTGTTGAAAGGTCAAATTATTACTACAAACTTTTAAGAGCAAATGTGCAAAATGTTCCTATAAGAAAAACAGAACGGAATCACGCTGTAAAGGGTGGTAAAGTTGCGTGTCATTTGCAAATTTTGCAAAGAAATTTAACTAATATATTTAAATTTCAACATTATAATCAGTTAGCCCAGAATTTGCAATGAAAACAACATGGATGCAGAGTCACACACCATTGAAAGGAAATCAGACAGCAACTTTTGGAGCATGCACATGTGCATTTAAACTAGGAAATCCCGACAGAGATACTCTATGCAGCCACATTATGGTTTTGTTGCAGTCCTTGGTGAAGTGTTTGCCATTGAAATTAGTTAAACTTGCTAGAATTTAATACTAAATACGACAAACCAATACTAAGAACAGCTCAGAGACTTAGGGATGGCGCAATCAAGAGAGAATTTTAAATGCGATAATAAATTATAATACAGAACAACCTTTCTACCTTGAAAAAATTCTCAGACTATCATTCCAGACACTATTTTTCTGTCTGTTTTTAAATATCTCTCCTGCAGTTTCCAACCTTCAGATTGCTTTCCAGAATACCATTTGAATTTAGTTTACATTTCCCACATCATTCTTCCTGGTTTGAACTGTGCATGTCCAGTGGGATTCTCCAATCTAATGGGTTGAAGAATCTTGCTGCTGCTTCCTGTTCACAGATCCACAGCAACTTTTTGCAGCCGGCTCAGAGCTGGTGTAGGTTTGTAATTTCACAGAATTAAGCATCCTAAGAATGTGAAGTCCATCCAGCTGAAACCACAATGCAATGGGGTGGGTGCTTAAACCATTAACCAGAAACTGACTAACTGGACCAGCCATACAAATACTGCGATTACAAGAACAGGTCACGAGTGAGGAGCTGCAAAAATGATACTCTATTTTCTCCACCCCACCGTCCTAATGTCCATCCATAGAAACATAGAACAGGAGTTGGTCATTTGACCTTTCAAGGCTGCTCTGTTGTCATTATCTTGGCTAATCATCCAACTCAATAGCCTGTTCCTACCTTCCTCACCCCACACCACCCATACCCTTATATCCCTTTAGCCCCAAGTGCTTTATCCCAATCCTCATTGAAATTGTTGCTCCAACAATACTCAAGTCATTTGGGATAATGGAGCCTACTTGATTGAACCCATCCACCTTCTTCAACATGAACTCCCTTCGTATGTTGGCAGAAGCGTGCACGAACTACAAGATGCAATTCAGTTAACTTGCTAAGACTTTTGTTAGCATATTTCAAACCCATGACCAGAACTACCTCGGAGAATAAGGGTAACAAATGCATACTAACATTACAGCTTGCAAAGTCCCCTCCAAGCCACAACAGCATCCTGGCATCATACTATATCAATACTCCTTCACTGCCGTTGGGGTAAAATCCTAGAATTCCCTTCTTAACAGCAGTGTGGGTTGTGGATGTACATATACAAGTACAGCAGCAGTTCAAGAGAAAGCTCACCACTACCTCTCAAAGGCATTTAGGAATGGATGTTAACTGCAGGCCCACATTCCATGAATGGACAAAGTAGTAAAACAATTGCCTTGAATTGCTGAGTACTGATTTGGTTCAGGTGCCCAAGTACTGAGATTGCTATAAAAGTTGACTTGACTCCTATCTTAGATTCTGGTGAGTCATCACAATGTTGACGTCACTGGAAGGGGCTCTTCTTCCACTCTTGCGTACCTCAACTTTTGTTTCCACAAATAAGAATTCTGATAGTTTACATGAGTAACAAGTCTATAAAGGGCTTTAGTCGTTTAATCTATGCTTTCTTTGTATAGTCTTATGTCACATCAAAGTACTTCAAGCAAGAAACAATTGTGAAATGTAGTAGCTTCGTGTAGGAAAATGTACTACCAATTCGGTACCAACAAAATCCCAGCAACTACAATGGAGATAAAACACCTACTTTTGTTTGGTCCAAAAAAGTGGTATATAGAAGAACATAGGTCAGAACACTGGAACTCCCTCCTCCTTTGCAATAGGATCTTTTGTACTCATGTGAACTGCATAATTAATAGTTTAATCTTTGATGTAACCATTCATGCAACAGAGGACACCCACAACAACGCAACATCGTAGTGCTAGTCTCGATAATAAGCTTAATGTACCGTGTATAAGCCACAAACGCATAACTATCTGTACTATAACCTATTGAAATAGGAGTGTTCCAGCAAATCATGAGTGATCAAAAAGGTTGATTTAACAGATAAATAGCACAGCAGCATTTAGCAAGTTGTTCTTTCCCTTAATTGTAGCAATAAACTGTGCCATCCTTACATGTGATATGAGCAGACAAAATAAAGATGACAAAGGAATGTGCTTTCAGGAATTTATAAGGATAGATCACAATGTATAACATATGCTGAAGACGACTTTATCCAGCAACGTATTGGAAAAGATGAAATAGATGAGGTCATGTGCTAACCATACAGCTTTTGGACATGATTGTTGCGCATTCTTAAACATAAAACCAGCAAATGCTTTAATCAAATAACTACAATAATAGGCTACTGCACAGTATTTTCAAAATTTAAATGTGCGCTCCTGGACCACTGTCAAAAAGGCAATTTATTTATGCAAGTATTTAAACATTTTATAATTAATATAGATCTTTCCAAGCATTAATCTTAAAAAGAACTTCATTTGTAAACTATACTTTCTGCAAAATAAAAATTTATTCTTAAGAATATCCTTGAACTAGCATAATGATAGAATGTATACTCAAATGTACAATCAAAACTAAAGCTAGTAATAATACTTGAGTATAAAAGTTTAATTTTTAGACATTGTCATGTTGCAAATTTGGTTGCAATCACAGATCTTTAGTCTGTCACAGATTTTTTAAAATAGGAATGCAACAATGTATCTGTAAATGGTTTTCCTCAAAGTAAGAGTCATAGTTGCAGAAATGGATTTTATTCTGAACACTAATTTTCACATTAGTTACCTGCTCATTCATGTGTAGCTTCTTTGCCCTTTTGACCAGAGTATCCTTGCTACATGGTAAGAAGGATGCCAGGTGTGCGTAAACCCCAGAGCGGGCCTGACTATTCAATTCACGGGACTGAAGTTCAATACTGAAAGCAAAAACACATCAAAATAGATGAAGAGTGCACAGTGAGATCCTTACAGACACATCATGATAGAAATTAGAAACAACTATACTTCTAGAATAATACACATTCATGCTTCAATACTACATATAAACATTGTAAGATAAAATAATTTTAAAATTAGCAGTTCAAACAGCACCAGGTTATATAATGGAAACAGATTTGTTCATTTGTACTTTAGCCACTCTCTGTCCTGCACTAAGTACTTGGATGGCAAGAAATCAGCTTTACCACCACTTCAATGACTTGTTATTCACATCACACAACACAACTAACAATACAAGGAAACACTTTGTTCATGCAGCATGAGGAATGATGTACTGCAGCAGAAAAACAAGAGTAAATTGTTTAAATTTGCTCTCTCGGAGCAGAGCTTCAGGTGTTGGCAAGGGGTATCATGAATTTAGATGGAGAATAGCTGGCCTTGCACAATTCTCCGAACATTAGAACAAGATTCACAAAGTTACATCGACCATGCAGCCCTTCATACTCACATTCGTAATCTGCACAAACAAAAACAAATTACTGGAAAAGCTCAGCAGGCCTGACAGCATCTGTACAGTTTTGAAGATGGGCCACTGGACACAAAATTTTAATTCTGTTTTCTCTGTACAGATGCTGCCAGGCCTGCTGGACTTAGCAATTTCTGTTTTTGTTTCTGATTTCCAGCATCTGCAGTTCTTTGGGAACTTTTTCCCCTAATCTGAACTCTAGGTTCACTAAACGCTGTGCTAATCACTAACACTTATTCCAGGTTCAAAATAAAACCAACAGCACCAGTTTGGTTTCATTTCTACTGAGGTAAATTTAGGATCTGCCTTCATGCCCTATCCTTGAGCGTGGAAAGCAATTACAAATCACCACTAACAAAAACTGCCAAGGGAGCTGCTCAAGATGAGTGGCAGACAATGAACCAAGGACCTGCCTTGAGGCAAAGTACTTATGACATGATGATGTGACAAGTTTAATTTGAAAAGCAAATTTTAAAAAGTACATTGTATACATTTATGTAATCTAGTCTTTCTAGTATAGAAAACTGTTAAATAGTTTTGATTTGTGCATCTAATGAAACTGTGAAAATCAGCCCATATGTTTGGCTGACAGAGTAAAATAAACTCTTTCATGGGAATTCAACACCCCTAAATTTAAATTACATAGAATTTACAGGACAATCAGCCTAACTGATCATGCTGCTGCTTATTCTAAACACAAGCTTCCTTGCACCTTAATTTGCTAAATCCTGCTAGCATGTACCACTTGTACTTGCCTAACACTGATGCATTTAAGAGAAAGCTATTTGCAACCACTCAAGAGTTTCCATCCTGAAATTCTTTAATGGATTTCCTCTGTACCTTCTAGTTTTGTACTCCCCAAATAGACAAATTTGTTACAGCAACCTAACAAATCCCTTCACAATTTTTCTAAGGCACCGATTAGTTTCATCTTTTCTAAAGAAAAATGCCTCACTTTTCTGAAAGGAAACCAAATGATTTGTTGCATTATACTTACTTAAGCAGAATATTATTGACATCTTGTGTGAAGAATTTCTGCTTCCCCTCTCCTTCTAAGGCTTTGGCAGCCTACAAGACAAGAATATCATCAGCTTTTTTTTCGTACCTTCAGGTCCCTTCTAAAGCCTATTTTAATTGGATTAAAGAGCTGCAGTTCTTGATGATCTTCAGCACCAGTTTGTCATATACAAAACTGAATGGCAACCAATAACTACAGAAGAAGAAAAAAAGATTCAATTCAATCGTCTTTTGGCCACTTCACTTTCAAAAATAATCTTAAAAGATATCAAACAAGTATGAAAAAACCTACAATGAACTGTACTGATAAAAGTTAACATTTTGGTATGCACTTTTTGGAGTCGCTCAATGTCAGTTAAGAACCTATTAACTGCAAAATGAGTGCAATAACTAATCAAATAATGACCATTAAGTATGGATTCACTGGTGTTCCATGAAAAGAGACAGATTGAAACTGTTGTTGTTGGGCTTGGAGATTTATCTTTATAACGTTCTCTCTAAATAAAAACTTCTCAGTTTCAGTAAATTGGCTCCAATTCCACAGTTCAATCCCTAACTACCTGGGATAAGAACAATGCCGACTTTCATAACATTTTCTGGATTCAAAGAGTATTTCAGTAGCATGCAAGTTGAGTATCACTGGAAAAAAGACATTTTATTGAAGCTTTTTGTCTAGCACTTATTAGGATAATTCACAAGAACAACAACATAAAGGGGAAACATTTATACTGTATAGGAGGACAGTGCTGATTGGTTGGCAAATAGACTAGTTGGTGGAGGTATTACCAAGGCGAGTGCATCAATTAGTGATGACTGGCAGTTAACTGTCAAGTTTTGTTTAAACCTTTAAAACAGGCAGGTTCAATGGCCATCACCTATTTTGATGAGGCGAAAAGGCACAGGCTGTCTGCAAAGACTACGGCTTTACATATTAATAAATATGACTTCCAAACCATGCACACGTGCCACACTATAAACTTAATGACAAATTAAAATTGGTTGTCAGTGTAATTTGCAAGGGGAAATGACGACCTGGTGGTTTTATTACAAGACTACTAATCCAGAGACCACAGCAATGCTTTGGGGATGCAGGTTCAAATCCCATTATAGCAATGGTGGAATCTGAATGCAGTAGAAATTTGGAATTATAGGTCTAATGTTAATTGTTGGAAAAACACATCTGGTTCACTAATGTCCTTTTAGGTAAGGTAACTGCTCTCCTTCCCTGGTCGGCCTGGCCTAGATTCTGAATCCAGATCCACAGCAACGTGGTCGACTCTTAACTGCTATCCGAGCAGTTAAAAATGGGTAATAAATGATGGCCTAGCCAGCTATGCCCAAATCCCGTGAATGAATAAAACCCTCATGATTATACAGCAAATGCTGTTCAATTACAGAATCACTTTTAATGTTAGACATGGAGTTTTGCAAGCATGGGGTGGTTGAATATGGTCAGTGTCCTGCTTGTTGCGAACAGCCGAAGGGATGTGCTGTTCAGTATGATCCACTAGCCTTTGGTATGTGTAGTCTACACATCTAACATCACACTGGCACTGAAACTAATGTGATTGGCAGAATGCCTTCTTCGACAAGACTCACACACCGGATTAATTATTTGAATATTACAAACAATGCTATGTAAATTCAGAAACTGGCAATTACTTGAAAATTTTGAAAGCAAGTGTCATGAAATTTTATACCGTCAGATCCATTAGTGAACCTGGTTCCTGGTATTCCCTATTTCACATTACTAGCCACAAACTTGGCACAAATATTAATTCAGTTTTACAATTCTCCTCAAACTGCAAGTGACATTATCCTGCTTCTTAAATTATTTCACTGGATGTGGTGTCACTGGCAAGACCAGCATTTGCTGACTATTTCTAATTGACCTCGAAGTAGAGACACAATAGGCCATTTCAAAAGGGCATTTAAGAGACAACCACATTGTTATGGATCTGGAGTCACATGTAGCTGCTAGATCTGAATAGAACAAAATATATGCCATAAAAATGACTCCCTTCTGAGACAGGATTGCTTTGTTTGGTACAATTCATAGAAGATTGTAAGATCTGTTAATAAAAACATTAGCCTCTCTCGGATTATGACTTTCTGAAAGTACCTCGACTCTAGAATGTCCCAAGCAGATTGGTAGTTAACAAATATATTAAAAAAATTAAAAACAAGGGATAACAGAAACATTACCCTCACGTCAATCATCAGAATAATGCTAGGGTATATTTCTTGAGGAAATTTTAACCTACTTAGAAAACCGTATTATGATCAGATGGTCAATATGGTTCAAAGTTTGAGAAGATTTGTAGCTCGGGTTGTGGATGAGGCTGTAGACTCGCTCACTGTGCCAGTTTCTGATTACAGACGTTTTGCCACCCTGTGAGGTAACATCGTCAGCACGCCTTCGGTGAAGCGTTGGTGTTCTGTCCCGCTTGTTATTTATATGTCTCGGTTTGCTGGGGTGGTTAGTATCACTTCCAGATTTGTTTCTCAGTGGTTTGTATATCGGGTTCAGTTTAATGTATTTGTTGATTGAGTTCCAGTTGGAACGCCAGGCCTCCAGGAATTCCCTGGCATGTCTCTATTTGGCTTGTGCTATTCGGGATGTGTTGTCCCAGTCAAATTTGTGTCCTCCTTTGTCCGTGTGTATTGAGACCAGTGAGAACTGGTCGTGTCTCTTGGTGGCTAGCTGGTGATCACGTATCCTTATTGTCAGCTTTCTTCTAGTTTAGCCTGTGTAATGTTTCTCACCGTCCTTGCATGGTATTTTGTATATTACGTTAGCCTTAATGTTCGTGGGCATGGGATCCTTTATGTTCGTCAATAGCCATCGCAGGGAGGTGGTTAGTTTGTGAGCTACCCTGATACCTAGTGGCCGGAGTAGTCTTGTGGTCATCTGATAGGTCTCTCATGTACAGGAGGGTGACTAGTGTGTCTGGCCGTGTTGTGTCGTCTTGTTGTGGTATGATACCCAAAAAGCACAATCCGCCGTTACCTCTACGACAGACCACAACACGGCCAAACACACTAGTCACCCTACCGTACATGGGCGACCTATCAGAGAGGACCACTACTCTGGCCACTAGGTATCAGGGTAGCCCACAAACTAACCACCCTGTGACGGCTACTGATGAACGCAAAGCATCCCTAACCCACAACCATTAAGGCTAACATAATATACAAAATACCATGCAAAGACAGTGAGAAACATTACACAGGCCAAACTAGAAGAAAACTGACAATAAGGAGACATGATCACCAGCTAGCCATCAAGAGACATGATCAGTTCTCACTGATCTCAATAAACACAGACAAAGGAGAACACGAATTAGATTGGGACAACGCATCCAAAATAGCACAAGCCTAATAGAGACATGCCAGGGAATTCCTGGAGGCCTGGCATTGCAAGCAGAAGTCCATCAACAAACACACTGAATTGGACCCGAGATGCAAACCACTGACAAACAAAACTGGAAGTGATGCCAACCACCCCAGCAAACCAAGGCACATAAGTAACAAGCGGGACAGAACAGCAATGCTTTAACCAGAGATGCGTTGACGATGTTACCTAGCAGGGTGATGAAATATCTGCAATCAAGCACACCAGCTCAGCGAACAGATCAAATGGTATTACAAAAGGAAAACCGCGATAACAAATTTAATTTCTGGAGGATTTAACTAGTAGGGTCAGTAAACAGGCTTAAGTAGATGTAGGATGACTGGATTTTGAAAAGGCATGTCAAATATTAATATGCAAGATAATGATTCAGATTTGGGGTTAATATTGTTATCATGAATAGAGGATTGGTTTGTGGACAGAAACCAAATAGGGAGAATAAACTATTTACTTTCAAGTTGTTAGGTTCTAACGAGTGGAGTGCCACAATATCACAATATTTCTAATCAAACTATGCTTTTCCAAATAATCATAAATACTATCTCTCAGAATCCTCTCCAATAGTTTGCCTACCACAAAAGTAAGACTGACCAGTCTGTAATTCCCAGGATTATCCCTAATCCCTTTCTTGAACAATGGAATAACATTTGCCACCCTCCAGTCACCTGGTACTACTCCAGTGGACAGCGAGGACGCAAAGATCAGGTTCTCAGGTGTTTGCAATCTACTGTTTCTTCATCTTCCTAATTAATGTATAACTACTGAAGTTTGTATAATCACAAAGATTGATGGGTATGCAAGCCAAGAATAGGACACAATATGATGCAAAGAATGGGCAACAAGGTGGAAGATTTAACTGCAAAGTGGAGAAGTAAAGGAGTGAGAGGGACCTTGACATTTGTGAGGACAGCATGAAATAGGCTAACATGGTTGAACAGGTTGACATTAGGAAGGAGGATGTGCTAGAAATATTGAAAAATGAGGAAAGATAAGTCCCCTGGGCCAGACGGGATACACCCGAGGTTATTACGGGAAGCGAGGGAAGTAATTGCTGTGCCTTTGGCAATGATCTTTGCGTCCTCACTCCACTGGAGTAGTACCAGATGACTGGAGGATGGCAAATGTTATTCCATTGTTCAAGAAAGGGATTAGGGATAATCCTGGAAATTACTTTTGTAGTAGGCAAATTATTGGAGAGGATTCTGAGAGATAGTATTTATGATTATTTGGAAAAGCATAGTTTGATTAGAAATAGTCAGCATGGCTTTGAGAGGGGCAGGTCATGCCTCACAAGCCTTACTGAATTCTTTGAGGATGTGACAAAACACATTGATGAAGGCAGAGCAGTGCATGTGGTGTATATGGATTTTAGCAAGGCATTTGATAAGGTTCCCCATGGCAGGCTCATTCAGAAAGTAAGGAGGCACGGGAATCAGGGAAATTTGGCTGTCTGGATACAGTCCAATAGAAGACAGAGGGTAGTAGTAGATGGAAAGTATTCAGCTTGGAGATCGGTGACCAGTCGTATTTCGCAGGGATCTGTTCTGGGACCTCTGCTCTGTGATCTTTATAAATGACTTGGATGAGGAAGTGGAAAGGTGGGTTAATAAGTTTGCCGATGACACAAAAGTTAGAGGAGTTGTGGACAGCGTGGAGGGCTATTGTAGGTTGCAACGGGACATTGACAGGATGCAGAGCTGGGCAAAGAAGTGGCAGATAGAATTCAACCCAGAAAAATGTGAAGCGATTCATTTTGGAAGGTTGAATTTGAATGCAGAACACAGGGTTAATGGCAGGATTCTTGGCAGTGTGGAGGAACAGAGGGATCTTGGGGTCCACGTCCATAGATCCCTCAAAGTTGCTACCCAAGTTGGTAGGGTTGTAAAGAAGGCATATGGTGTTGGCTTTTATTAGAAGGGGAATTGAGCTTAAGAGCCGTGAGGTTATGCTGCAGCTCTACAAGACTCTGGTTAGACCACACTTGGAATATTGTGTTCAGTTCTGGTCGCCTCATTATAGGAAGGAAGCTTTAGAGAGGGTGCAGAGGAGATTTACCAGGATGCTGCCTGGACTGGAGGGGCAGGTCTTATGGGGAAAGGTTGCGGCAGCTTGGGGTTTTCTCACTGAAGCGAAGGAGAGAGGTGACTTGATAGAGGTGTACAAGATGATGAGAGGCATACATAGAATGGATAGCCAGAGACTTTTTCCCAGGGTGGAAATGACTATTGCGAGAGGGCATAATTTTAAGGTGATTGGAGGAAGGTATAGGGGAGATGTCAGAGGTAGGTTCTTTACTCGGAGAGTGGTGGGTATGTGGAATACGCTGCCAGCAGGGGTAGTGGAGTCAGATACATTAGGGACATTCAAGTGACTCTTGGATAGGCACATGGATGACAGTAAAATATAGGGTATGCAGGGTAATTTGATCTTAGAGTAGGATAATAGGTCGGCACAACATTGTGTACTATGCTGTACTGTTCTATGTTCTAAAGTGAGAAATTATTCACTGTGGCAACTAGTATAGAAAAGCAGAATTTTTTAAATGGTTAAGAATGAGGGCGATTTGGGAGTACTCTCACATAAAACAAAAGTTAGCATGCAAATATAACAAATCAAATAAAATGCTGAATGGAATGCTGGCCTTTATTGCAAAGGGTCTGCAGTAAATTAATAACAAAAATTGACAGACCATTGTGCACAGCTATGGCGAGATCAAATCTGGTATTGTGTTAATTTTGTCTCCCCCTATTTGAAGGGAGGATTTTTTTTATTCTTACATGGGACGTGGGCATTGCTAGCAAGTCTTGCATTTGTTGCTCATCCCTAATCGTCCTTGAACAAAGAATCAACCACATTGCTGTGGGTTCCACTTTTAAACATCTTTAAGGCCAAGGTAAACAGCTTTGGGAATCAAGAGATGAGGAGCAAATGGAACAGTCAAGGTGAGACAGATCACTATTCATGTTGATACTTAATAGTGAAGCAGGCTCAAAAGACAATATGGTCTATCCTTGTTCCTATATGCCTCTTTAGGTTGGCTGGTCAGTTTAGTGGGAATTGGCTTTAGAGAGTGGAAGATGAGCACAGGGAGGGCACGAAGGATGATAGGAGAGTTCGGGATTACGGCAAGGTGGAAACTTAATCCGCTGCATGACAGTAAAAGAGAATGAAGCAGCAGAGGCAGCCAAATGGATGGTCTTCAATCTGATGGACAAATTAGCCCACATGCTTCAAACACTTAGTGGAAGCACAAATAGGAGAGACACAGGAAAGGATTTAAGATGATTTTCAACACAAAAAAATTGGGGATTATCATTGCATTCCAGAATAAACCTAGATTAGCAAGAAGTTTTGGCAGGTGACAGCAAGACTTCATATTTTGCAGTGCAGCCAGATTTGGCAATGGATGATCAATCTCTCAGAATACAACTAACTTTGTTTTAACTGGCTGCTTATCAACCAGCACTCGAAAAACTGGCAAAAATTATGTACCTCAAATACTGGGATCTGCCGCAAAACCCCGAGTATTTATACTGCAAATAAAGTATAAGAGTGATGGGTATATCCCCTGCATTACATTTCTATTACTTACTGTGTGTTTCTACATTAATTTTAAGAGGTGTGTCGATGGTTTAACATAGGTTTTTGTCGAGGGCTTTGATGTCTCGAAGCTTCGCTTGGTTAGGGTTTACTGTGGTTATGTGGACCTTTCAATTATCTGGAATATTTGATCAACCTGCACACTTCTGGTCCCACAGGAACTGGTTAATAAAATGTTTGTTGTTATCTTTCATTAAAACACACGGCCTCTGCACCTCAAAATCCAACCCCCAAAGCTAAGGTAACTCAATCCAGTTTCCTACTGATTTATTTGTCCTGTTCAAGATTCGTGACTGAGAGATTGGAGAAGAGTAGCATTTGCGCTTATTGGTGAGTGAATTCCAATCAAACTACCAAAATCTCTTTGCATCAGCAGCTTGAGACATTGACAACCTTGATGGAAAACTTCATCTACAAATTACATGCAATCCCACAACGACAAAAGCTTGGACAATTAAAACATATGCCTGGTGATTTCTTCTTCATCTTCAGACACTTGTTTCACCTGCATCTTACCTGTGTCAGCTCTTTAATACGCTTTTCTAGTAGTGCTGGAAGCCCTTCTGGTAATGTGGGGACTTGCTTTGGAGTTTGACCCGCTGTTGAGTACTGTAGTACAGGCAGAGGATCACTGCCATCATCAAAATCATTAAGAGGACTGCCCGGAGGAGATTCATTCAGAAGACGTTCTAGGTCTATTTCTAAGTCCACAGTGCTGGCCACTTTCAGAAGATCACTCTCATTAGCTGATCCAATAAGTGAAAGTAGAGGGTCTGAAACATTAATGTTTATTGAGCTGTTATCAGTTTCAAGAAGAGTGCCAACCATAGTCTGAGAAGTGGGCAAGCTCTTCTGATCTTCTCGTTTCTTCAATGCTTCCTTCTCTTTCTCAAACTTTTTTAACATCTCTTTCACGCCCAAGGTTCCCATGTATTTTTTCTTTTTCTTTTTATCTTCTTTATGGACATTCAGTGGCATAAACCTGATTACAAAAACATCAGATATCAAGGATGAGGATTAAAAAAAGGCACAACCAGAGTGGGAACAATGTTTCCAAAGATTTCCATTTTCTTAAGTTCATTGAGGGTCGGACTGGAAGACTTGCATCAGCTAAAATACTCATTAGGTAAGGGACCATAAAATTGTTTAATAGCAGCATTACTTGAAGCTTTGGAACACAGTAAGTGTGCATCACTTGGATCAAAATGAAATTTTGGCAAGTTTACTTGTAACAGAAGGATTTGAGAGGACAGACTTAACTTTTCATTCAAGTAACTTGAAATTTTAAATATTATGACCCTTAATTTCTGCAGAGGATTTTCACCAATCCTGACGTAGTGGGCTTTTGGCATAAACTGCTACCTGTATTGCTCTCCGAAGTGTTCCTCCAGTCTTTTGATGAAGATATGGCCAAATCCTGGAGAATCCCCATGGACTTTCAGGACCGCGTCTCAAACTATGGAGGAATAATGATTCCCAAAAGACGGAATATTCAGCGTCTTTTATACTATAATTTCAGCTCATTCGAACATCCTTACTTGCGTCTGACGTGGCCATTATTCCTGAAATTAATTATTTTAATAAAAATAATCCAATTTTTTTTTTGCTATTGGATGACCAGAGGTTTTGAACACTTCCTTTCATTTCTGGGCTCTAGCTCAGACACAGCCTCATTGAATGCAACAGAGTTTATGAGATGGGTGCCTAAATGTTATATTTTACAGTTAAACATTAGAAATTGAACTCATTACTCCTTTTCCCAGTATCAGTTATTATGTCAAAATCGTTTGGAATTATGAACAGGAGAGATGAAACTGGAGATATTCCACTGCCAACAAAAACATTTAAGGCTGCCGTCCTATTATGCTCAATTTATATTTTAAATACATTTGCATGAGCTTTTGGCTTATTACTACTGAGCAGCAATTTTCCGAGCAATCATATTATTTTTCGCAACACCAAGAAGCAACAACCAGGGGAGCGACTTAGAGGGGACAGGACAATGTTGCATACTCAAATTTTTGACATTCCTGTAGCACAATTTTACTTGCACAATTGTTACAAAAACAATTTCATAAATTGCAGGAAAAGTTTATCCATTGCTTCGTGTTGTATCGTTTCCCTGATTAATTTATTTGGTGGGTTCACATTATAAACTGAGACTGTGTATCATGCAGAAGTTGTCTAATTTATATTAAAAAAAAGTTCACTGCAAGTAACATTCCAGAAAAGAAGCTTGCTTTTGAGGGAAGATTCATTTTAAAATAAATTCCACCCATTCCATGTACTAATCCTGAAAGAGATGGACAAATAACTTGGTAACAGCTGGATCAAGGCACACTGGTGCCACATGAGGTAATAATTGGCCTTTGTTTCTGATGGGTAAGCAATATGGAGAAAATTGCACTTATGAAACTTTAGTGTATTTTTCCAGATTGGACTAGAGAGTCACCACAGAATCCACTCTCCCAGAGTGAAACAGGCAGGTCATCCTCTACCCTAAGGGGCTGCCAAAGAAAATGAAATATTTTTTCCATCTTTGACATAGGTTTACTTTGGGCACAGTACAGACATAGTCCTTTCGCCTAACAAGTCCATGTTGGTGGTCAGGCTTCACTTGATCTTCCTCCAATTTTTTCTCATCTCAAATCTTTCACTGCAACCCTCTACTCTATTTTCTACCATATATTTGTCTAGATTACCGCTCAGTCCACCTGTAATTTTTGCATCAACTACCCCCTATGGTAGTGAGTTCCACATTGTCACCACACGTTCACTGGAGGATATTTTTTCCGAATTCTCTATCAGACTCGTTAGTGACCAGTTAGGGGGTAGAGCTAAAAGAATCAGCAACCTGCCAAAATTACATCTCCAGTTTTGGGGGCCGTGTTTGTTACAATAAAGTCATGTTACTTTTGTACAACCACACCACGTCTGAAAACGGAAAAGAAACTCCTTGAAATACGTAGCTGGTCAAGCAGCATCTGGGGGGAAACAGTTAACACTTTGTGTTGATGACCCTGTATAAACACTCCAGTCAAACTGGCTCTATTTTGTGTTCTACAGGTGCAGCTGGATCTGCAAAAGCAGTTGCAGCATTTTGTGTTTTGATTTCGGATTCTCAGTATCTGCAGTATTTTGCTTTTACTATGTCTCTCAAGTGGGAATTCTACCAATAATATTGAAGCACCGCTGGTGCTATGTTGATTCACTTTCAAGAGTAGTGACTTAAAAATCCAATGGACTTACCCAGCCTGTTTGGAGATTTTTGATTTTTGAGACTTCTTTTCTTTTTCATGTCCATCATCTTTTCTTCTTTTCTTAGTCTTTTCATTTCCTTCTTTTAATTTTCGTTTCTATTTAAAAACAAGAGGTATATCAGAAATAATCCAAAGTAAACCGTAGGTACCAAAACATAACCCAAGATTCAGATAATTGACACGTCTGAAATATTCTCCACAATATATTATTATTTCAATCAGGTTTTAAAATGAGTATTATTGGGAGATATCATAATGCAGTTAGGCATTTTACATTCACTGACAGGTTCAGACTTTAGTAACAGCGCAAAAAATGTAGGCTGTTCAGCCTCTTCAGCCTGCTCTGCCATTCAATAGGATCACATGGCTGGTGATAAAAGCTGGCTTTGCTGTATACACTGCTGGTACAGTTTTTTTGAATAATCACTGATTTGGAGATGTTCTTGTTTTACCTGGTTCAGTTGGAGGGAAGCACGCTAAGAATAGCTGAGATGGAGGAAAGCCTGTTAAGAACAAGGTGCCTAGCTGATCTGCCTCATTTCCAAAAAATGAAAATCCTCTATTTCAGTTTAGGGTGAAACCTGTTCATTGATTGATAGAACATCACAAGATTATATTTCCTGACTAAGCTGTGTCTACACGACTTCAAAGATAACCGTACACAATTAGTGACATGACCACGTGCCAGCTCATATTAAACTCAAAACATTCTGTACTCAATCACTTTGCCTTGCCGAGAATAACCCATTGGCTAAAAATGTTTTTTTTTCAGAATGCCAAATTGAGCAGGGAATTTTATTTTCTCTCTTTTCCTGAAGAGACAGTGCACGCGCACGTTTTTGGGACATTTATAGAGATGAATATTTATACTTCTGTAT